AACCAGGAAGCAGGACGACACCTTGACATCCTGTGGGAAAGCACAAAGTTTGTGCACGGAACAATTTACTGCGCAGACTTACGACAACTAAATGGGGTGCCTCACCTATGGTTCTGCGAACAACTGGACTAGCGCTCTGCTTCTCCGCTGGCGAATACGCGTGTCCCGTGTGGGAACGCTCTGCCCATGCTAAGAAAGTGGATACAGCATTGAATGAAACGTGCCGTATTATCACGGGCTGCCTTAAGCCGACCCCGGTACAAATGCTGTATCCGCTGGCAGGAATAGCGCCTCCAGATGTTCGCAGAAGCATAGCCAGTTCCACCGAGAGGACTAAACTGGACTCTGACCCACTTCATCAGATGTACCAATACAAAACCGTGCCCCAAAGGCTCAAGAGTCGCAAAGGTTTCATGAAGTGTGTCAGACCGTTACCATCAGGAGAGTCCCCTCAACATGCCAGACGCCGGTTATGGGAAGAAAAATACAAACTGCCGACCCCCTTTGTGCCGGTTTCGGAAAATCTCCCGCCTGGACACAATCTGCCGAGGTCAACCTGGAAGTCTTTAAATAGGCTCCGAACTCAGGTTGGCCGGAGCAAAGATAACCGGTCTAGGTGGGGGTTCACGCAGGATCCGGACCTTCGGTGTAAATGCGGGGTTGACCCCCAAACCACCGCCCATCTTATATCGTGCTCTGCATGTCCAACCACCTGCACGCAGGAGCAGCTAATGCAAGCCACTGTCAATGCCGTGAGGGTGGCGGAATACTGGTCGAAGGAAATTTGAGGTGTTGAGCTTGCTATCGACACGAAGAAGAAGAAGAAGCATCTTTTTTTTGGGCGGGTAGTCGTGACAATAACTCTAGCTAATTTGTCTCTACATAATTTGATTCATAAATAATACTTACTGTGTTTATATTTACATTATTAATGCACTAAGTAAGTAAGTAGCTTATCATCACTATCCGCAACTATTAATTTCCACACTGCAACCACTTTTCACAATTGTTGGAGTTTGACACTTTGACCTCTACACAATGGACACCTCGGCACTGTTAGCGAACAACAAAGCAGACCTCGATCAGCTGTTTAGCCGCATGGGAGAGTTCGAGATCCGCCTCAAGAATGCCACCGCTTCCCCTGCTCTGGTCCACACAGACCTGAAGACCCTGGCGAGTGAGTATGCTGATTTTAAAAACCTAGTCTGGCAAGCGCTCACTAAGATCTCAGCACAGACTAACTTGTTGTCACTTGGTCTGGAGCGTCACGAAGCTTTCATGAGAAGAAAGGTCCTCCTGTTCCATGGGGTCACTGAAAGTAAAGAAGAAAAGTTAGCCGAGGTTATTGCCAAAGTTATAAGTGACAAAATGCAGCTGTCCGACATTACCAGTTCAGATCTGCAAGCCTGCCACAGGCTAGGTTCCTCTTCAACGAAAACGCGTCCGGTACTCGTTAGGTTCCGTGACCTTGACAAACGGAGGGAAGTCTGGGACTCGAAGACGGCACTCAAGAACACAGGGATGGTCATATCAGAGTTCTTGACCAAGTCTCGACACGACCTCTTTGTTGCGGCACGGAAGTACAGACGGCTATATGAGTTATCTGACCCCCCTTACAAAATTGGTAGGTTCGTAGGTAATTTCGTTCTTACTGCTATTGTAACAAAGAATATAATGAATTGCGGGTATAAGAGTGGTTTGAATTAAGAAATAAACAGAAGAGGGCGCCACTGAACCATGAGTAATGCTTGCTTATAGCATGGACGGATAATACATCTTATGTTGTGAATAGCATACTTGTTCACAAATGGTAAGTCTATAAAGTATCCCTTAATTTCACAAGTTTTGAGCATGTTAATGTGGTGTAGTGGTCAGAGTAGTGGACTACTTGCGGAGAGGAAAATAGTGAACTGACACCATGGTTCGATACTCACCACGATTGCTTAATTTTAGTTTTTTGTTTTTTATTATAATAAGTGTTTGTGGGATGTTGGTGGGATGATTAAGGTGATATGATACGATAAGTCGGAATCGTTTCTGAAGCCTTCTCTTCCTTCTAATCTCTTTCCACTTCCTGGCTTCAAGCTTATACGTAACGATCGTACAGGCAAGGCGTGTGGTGGTGTTGCCATTTACCTGCGTGCTGATATCGTACATAATGTTATTAGCGTCTCACCTAGCAAATATTCACGTTCCGCTGAGCATATTTTTATTGAAATTACACTTTGCCACAAGAAAGTACTGCTCGCGGTCTTCTACAGTCCATCTCTCAGGATCGATTATTTCAATTCTCTGGAGAATTTACTTAGCACGCACTGCCCCAACTACGACCACACGCTTTTGCTTGGCGATTTTAATACGTGCCTTTTAAAGATGACCACCGCACTAATAAGCTGCAGTCCCTTTTAACCGCACTCAACTTACATATTTTACCCCTCCTTCCAACACATCAGGCACCAAATTGTATACCTTCTCTTCTCGATCTAATGATTACATCTTCTCCCGTCAACATTGCTTCTCATGGTCAATTCCCAGCCAATTTTTCCCATCACGACTTAATTTATCTATCTTTCAAGATTCGTCCACCCAGGCGAAAATCAAAATTTATGTATGTTCGTAATTTTAGAGGTATTGATTTGGAGGCGTTGAGGCGTGATGCTGCAGCTATCAATTGGACTTCGGTCCATGACGCTATCGACATCGACACCAAACTTGACTATTCTTATTTTACTTGATTTTAGTAATGCATTCAACTCGGTTGACTTTGATGTACTTTTAGCTATCCTTCGGTCTCTTAACGTCTCTTCTTCGGCAATATCCTGGTTTGATTCATACCTTCGGGGTCGCTCGCAGCGGGTCCGCTCTGATGAGACCTTCTCAGAATGGTGTGATCTTTCTGCGGGCGTTCCTCAAGGTGGCGTTCTTTCACCTCTTCTCTTCTCAGTTTTCATCAACACAGTTACTTCTGTTATTTCTTCTAGCTTCCATCTTTATGCAGACGATTTGCAGATCTATCGTCATTTCACTACTGATGATATCAACAGTGCAACTGCGGCTATCAACAATGACCTCAGCAAAATTGCTGAATGGGCTGAATGTTTCGGACTTGTAGTCAACCCTTTAAAGTCTCAAGCCATGTTATTAGGTAGTTCCTATATGTGTAATCAGATAGACCCTCTCAGCATCCCACCTGTTGTTTATAACGGCACATCTATAGGTTACACTAAAACTGCCAAAAACCTTGGTATTCTGCTGGATTCCAATCTCAGTTGGACTCCGCAGGTCAACGCTGTTAGCAGTAAGGTATTTTATTCCTTTCATTCGCTTAAACGCCTTCAAAATTTTTACCTCTAAAAACTAAGATCACTCTGGCTCAAACACTTCTTTTCCCCTTTTGACTACGCCGACACCTGCTATTTGGATGCCACGGAGGTTGTTGAGCAAACTTGAGCGTCTTCAAAACCTCTGCATTAGGTTTATTTTCGGCTTACGCAAATATGATCACGTCTCACAGTTTCGCTCACAACTCAAGTGGCTTCCGATTCGGCAAAGAAGAAATGCTCACGTCCTCTCTTGTCTCTATAACGTTCTCCACAATCCATCTTCTCCGTCTTATCTCAAAGAACGCTTTAGTTTTTCTCGTCCGCCGGACAAGCCCTGTCGCTCCCATGTAAGGACGATTCTGTCTATACCCATCCATCATTCCGACTTCTACAGTTATTCTTTTACTGTCCATGCGGCCAGGCTGTGGAACTCCCTCCCGCACACAGTGCGTGACAGCCATTCTCTTTCTATTTTCAAAAAACGAGTAAAAGAGCACTATCTTTCTCTCTCCACTTAGTTAGTGTAGGTATATATTTATATTGTAGTTCTATTTATATACGTAAGTATTTGTATGTAAGTGTATCTTAAATTATAACATTATAGATTATTATTATATATATCTTAGTAAGTTGTACACGTTATCTGCCTCACTTTATGCCATCTCACTACCCTAGGTCTGCTGGAAGAGATTTATTTTTAGAAATAAGCTGACCTGTTGTGTTTTGTTCAATATGTTATGTCCTATATGTTTTATTGTGTACAATAAACGGTTAAATAAATAAAATAAATAAGCATCACTACTGATACAAGGGTGAGGCAATGATAACAGCGGTAGCGGTACAAGACTTTGACATAGCATAGATGTTATTATATATAAGGATCTAAGGCTTTAATAAGAAGCAAAGCAGAGTGCAACATAAACAGATCAAGTATCTTCACAGAGCTGTACAATGCTATCGTACTCGCAGCATCACTACTGATGTAGGGGTGAGGCGATTGTAACAGCGGAAGCGGGACAGAGTTTTGATATAGGATATTGCTATTATGTATAAGGGGGTTTAATAAGAAGCAAAGCAGAGTGCAACATAAACAGATCAGTATCTTCACAGAGCTGTACAATGCTATCGTGCTCACAGCATCACTACTGATGTAGGGGTGAGATGATGATAACAGCGGAAGCGGGACAGAACTTTGATATAGGATATTGCTATTATGTATAAGGGGGTTTAATAAGAAGCAAAGCAGAGTGCAACATAAACAGATCAGTATCTTCACAGAGCTGTACAATGCTATCGTGCTCACAGCATCACTACTGATGTAGGGGTGAGATGATGATAACAGCGGAAGCGGGACAGAACTTTGATATAGGATATTGCTATTATGTATAAGGGGGTTTAATAAGAAGCAAAGCAGAGTGCAACATAAACAGATCAAGTATCTTCACAGAGCTGTACAATGCTATCGTACTTGCAGCATCACTACTGATGTAGGGGTGAGGTGATTGTAACAGCGGAAGCGGTACAGGATTTTGACGTAGTATAGAATAAGCATCACTCTCATATTTTTCAATCAAAAAATATTTTTGAAGTAATATGTGTAATTTACAGTACTATATTATCAGTTTGCGAAGGATTTTTAAACGGTTATTCTTATTAAACCTAACCGGGACAAAAGAAGGGCTCGACCGGGATTTGAACCTGGGGCCACTCACACCCAAAGCGAGCAGATATCATACCGCTAGACCATCGGGCCACTTATAATTTTAAAAGAAATTAAATAAATCTTTATTTCAGTGTACGATTATGTTTCATATTTACTCAGTTGGATTTCAAGAAACCGGTTTTCAATAAGATTAATTGAATAATAATCATGAATTCAGCATTTTTCATCAAATTTTCAAGCGGCTCGATGGTCTAGTGGTATGATACTCGCTTTGGGTGTGAGTGGTCCCGGGTTCAAATCCCGGTCGTGCCCTTCTTTTGCGAAATTTACTACCTGCCTACCTAGCAGGTTGGCTGGCAGAACAAGGGGGCAATTTGGGGGCAAGTTCACCGTTGTAGCCATTTTTATCCAGTGCACTGGGTGAAGTTCAGGTGGTTGGAAAACTCTGAGAGGGAAGTGATGACACTAGCAGCCGAAAGAGATCCTGCCTGGCACGTTTGCAAGGCTACTTCTTCTTCTTCGAGAGGTACACCAAGTCGTCGAACGAACCGATGCTACTTAATATTGTCTTTTGCTTGCACAACTATTACTAATTACAATAAAACAATTTTAACGGATTTTAGTAGTATTTATTTTGCTTACTTAACTTGTAAGAAGTAGTAACATGATGTAACTTTGTTTAATTTTCGTAAAGAAAGACACTTGTGTCAATACAAATTTCGGCAGAATAGGAAATGTAATTACAATTGCTGAATTTAATCTTATTTTCCAAGCGGCTCGATGGTCTAGTGGTATGATACTCGCTTTGGGTGTGAGTGGTCCCGGGTTCAAATCCCGGTCGTGCCCTTCTTTTGCAAAATTAACTACCTGCCTACCTACATAGCAGGTTGCTTGGCAGAGACACAAAGTAAGTATTGGCTAGCGACAGAGATCTCTTAATTAGGGGCAAGCTCGCCGTTGTAACTATTTTTATCCAATGTACTGCGTGAAGTTCAGCTGGTTGTAAAACTATGAGAGGGAAGTGATGACACTAGAAGCCGAAACAGATCCTGCCTGGCACGTTTGCTACGGCTACCTACTTAATATTGTCTTTTGCTTGCACAATGAAACAATTTTATTTTATTTTGGATATTTAAATTATCCGAAATTTGGACACTTTTCAGTACCGGTGGGCACGGACGACTCTGATTCTGAGTGTGACTTGATTCGTGACCACCACTAGACCATCGGGCCGCTTAGTTACTTGATTCACTTGCAGTAGTTACATGTTTATAAATGACTAGCTGGTGCCCGCGAACTTCGTCTCGCCAAGGGATGTTTATGCGCTAACAGAAGATAAAAACCGGCCAAGAGCGTGACAGACACACCCACAACGTAGTCAACGTTTACATATCAAGTTTTTCAGCGTTACAAAATGTTGACAGCCGGTGTGGCGCAGTGGTTAGTATGCCTGCCTGCCACGCAAAGGTGCCGGGTTCAATTCCCGGTGGGGTCACTCACAAAGTTGATATTTATCACTTTGTGAATTTGTTCCCAGTCTGGTTAGGACATTGCAGGCTGAACCACCTGATTGTCCGCAAGTAAGATGGTTCTGTGCTTCGGATGGGCACGTTAAGCCGTCGGTCCCGGTTGCTGTCTATGATGGCGGTCGTTACACAACCATGTCAGAGGCCTGCTACTTGCAGTAGGCGGTTGAAAAAACTCTGACACCAGGGTTCATCGGGTCGTTGAAGGACTCGGTGTCCCACACGTAAAAGAAAAGAGAAAGAGCGTTACAAAATTAATTTTGTTGCTGGTTTGCTTGCAGCGTTATGGTTACCAATGGAAAATTGGAAAAAAATATCTCAACACTTTAGTGGTACGGTACAGTATCCGTTATTGTTTTCATAGTAACTTCAGATTAAGATCTATATTCCATATAGCTGGTGTTTAGTTTTCGTATAAAATGGGCGCGCGGTGCTGGCAACACTGCTCTGTCATTGTCACGTCCTCTGCCGTCGCCCGCATCGTTGATGCGAATATTAATTATAAGTGGCGTAATTTGGTGTGCTTTCGGTTTTCTCGTGTGGTTTTCCCTGTTCGGTGGGGAAGTGAACCAAGTGATTTTGGTTCCGGCGCTTTGATTGAGAGTCACGCGACCGCCGGCAGAATATAACCTCACTTTTCGTTGGCTCGCGTCGTGGCTGCCGATAGCTACGTATTTTAATTATAAATGATTGGAGGCCAACGGGGCCGATTTCTCATTCGTAGAGAAATCTTTTAGTTATTTTGTGTTAAAAAACATTATGTGATGTCGAACTGTGAACTATAGTGCAAATTGGAGGAAAGGAGTTCGAGAACGAGCGGATGTTCCAGTGCCGTGAGTTTAGGTTATTCCCTATTCCTGTGCTTCTCACAATATCCTGAATACCTGATTCCTGTCATACTTAAACTCACAAAGAAACGGCGTCATCGTTCGCTCGGTAAGCAATTCGTTGCTGGGCCCTGTTTAAGTAGATTTTGGAAACAAGAATTTCTCGGCCGGAAACTTTCCGGAACAAAATTCTCTCATTAAATTTATTTTATTTAGCTATAGTAAAGAGCACTACGAATCGTAGTCAAATGTTGTTCCGAGGCTGATCGACCATTTAGTTTAGATTTTAAGATAACTTTAATTTGCTTCCACTGCGCTAAGATCAGCTTCGGAATCAAACATTTTTTGGTAGCAGAGCGTGGTTGCTTTATTGCAACATAGTTAGCCGTAATTTAGTATTAAGCGTGTTTTTTATATTACCCACATATTTTATTAATTTTGGAAAATATTGTTTCGGTTTTTGTGACTGTATTGTTTGCCTAGTGAACGGTACCTTATCGGTAAGGTCTAGGCCAGTCAACTAACATTTATTTTGTGGTATTTGTTTATTGGTTTTTCGTTTTTATTAAGTCGAGTGTGTAAAAGTTGGTACCATGGCTCCCTCGATCGCCAGGTATAAGGCTGCTATAAAGACAGAATTAAGGTGGTTTACTACCACAGCGGCAATGATCGGCCGCGAGGACCGGGAGGACGCGCTCTTGAAAAGTGCACTACAGGCAGATGAACGGGTTCGGGTTGTGTCGGAACACCTCACAGAGTGCCTCATGCTCCTTGAGGAAGCTCCTAACCCTGAAGATAAGGAGCTGGTTGAGGGCGATGTAAGCCAGTGCTTGGAGCTGGCACAGGACATTGCGCAGGCAGCTGCGGACATATCTAGGCGACGTGACGGAAAGGAAAAGCCATTCCGTGGTAAAGTGGGACAAGGATTACAGGTGCCTCTTCCGCCTGTTACGGTTCCAGTCTTTGCAGGCGATTACGCCGACTGGCCGGCGTTTGAGGACCTGTATAGCAGTGTGGTCCACACACGGACGGACATAACGCCGGCGTACAAGATGGCTCAGCTGATGTCCAGGCTACATGGAGAGCCTCATGAATTGCTGACGCATTTGGCTGTCTCGGATAGCAATTATGAGGTGGCGTGGAAGATCCTTACCGACCGGTATCGAAACAAGCGCCTGATTGTAGACAGGCTGTTAGACCAGTGGCTGTCAATACCAACCATAACGCGAGGTACGGACCTCCGCGAGAAAATCTTCCACCCAGTCAGTGTCGCGGTCAGCGCACTAGAGCGACAGGGTTTGCCAGTGGCGGGCTACGGTTATATCTTGGTCCACACAGTGCTTCGCCGCCTGCCGAGCGAAATGGTCGCTCGATTCGAGCAGCTACATGGGGCAAGTCCTCGGACCACCTCCCGACCTACGAGGATCTGAAGTCGTTCCTCGAGGCCGAAAGCAGGCGAGTGGACGTCCAGGCTGGTGAAGCCCTCGCAAGGAGACCTCTGCCCTCGCCACCCGGAACGGCCGGGTGCACCGGCGCGAGGAGGCAACAGTGGGCAACCCAGGCGGTACAACACCGCATTGGAATCAGGGTGTGCCTACTGCAGGGAGACAGGCCACGGGGTGGCAGCGTGTCAGGAGTTTGCTGCGCAGCGGGTTCAGAGGAGACGGGGTGTGGCACAGCAGAGGCGTTGGTGTTTTCGGTGCCTGGGGCCGCATCAGGTGCGAGTGCCCTTCAAGCACCAACTGTAGGTACTGCCAGGGTGCACACCATCCGCTGCTCTGCATGAATCGCTCCGGAGGCGCCGGGGCAGCGCTGGATCGGATCAGCGAAGGAGCCTGCCCACCAAGGGAGGAGCAACGCTCCACCCCCTCAAGGAGGAGCCCACCTCCGCATCGGTCACAGGGACAGGCAGGGGACGTCAACAGACGGAGCCCACACCCAAGGACGTGGGGACGATCCCCACCACGGCAGCAGGTGCCGGATTGGGAAGAGCGGCACAGGAACGTGGCCAGGACACCCATCCCAGGTACGGGATTCAACGGGCGGGTGTCAGGGGGCACTAGGCAGCCACCAGGGTACATGCAGTATTCTGCGGGCTTGAGCCACCTGGTTGGGTCTCAAGACCCACGCATGCCCCCGCCTATGCCTGAGTACCCGCGGCTACAGGCGCAACCTCGGTACGGACGTTTGCCGTCGGGGTACTATAGAACTCCAGCCATGGCCTTTATGGGCAGACCTCCCTACCAGCAGGAGTGGGACCCATACACAGGTTTGGGTAGTGAGGATACCCCGCGTGACGCGGCCTCACCGCGTTTAGATTCCCGCTAGGTAATCGCCGCCTACTCATCAGCTTCGGCTCCCCGTCCAATCACGGTACTTTTGCCAACGGCTAAGATTTGGGTATGGGGATACGGTGGCCGGACCATTCAAGTAAGAGCCCTACTGGATACAGGGGCTCAGGGATGTATTGTATCGAGTAAGCTGGTGAGTAGGCTAGGCCTAAATGTACGGCCAAGTGAGGATGAAGCTGTAGGCATCGGGGGCCTAAATGTGCCTGACATTCGGGGTCAGACGAACTTTGAGTTCGCATTAGGTAGCACATGTACAGGGTCAGCTATCAAGTCTCAGCCGTGGTGCTGGATGAAGTGGTTGGGAAACTCCTCAGGTTAGGTTACCACCAACGGTACGAGGGTTAACCACAGGGTTGGAGTTAGCTGATCCTGATTTTGATACTCCT